AAGGTTAAATTTATATTTGAATTCCTTTTTCCTCCTGTCATTGTTCACTGAATAAGAAGCCTCTACTAAGTAGACTCTCTTATTGGAGCTGTAGAACAAAGAAAGGCAGTTCCTGGAAAACACCTTTTCCCATAAGGGGGAAAAAAAAAAGGTCAATGGGGAATACAAACAGAATGGATTTCAGTGCTGTCTCTTGGAAGGAATGGAAGTTGTTTCCCCAAGTGAACTTCATAAAACTTTGGTATATATAATAAGAAATAATATTAAAAGTATACAATGCAATGGGATAATTTTGTTTGATTTTTACACTAAGAATTTAGGGCCTGTAAAATGCAAAAGGCATCTCTCTCTCTCTCTCTCTCTCTCTCTCTCTCTCTCATTGGCCATTTTAGTATTCATGTCTCCTGTACTGCTTTCTAATAAGTTAAGAATGAAACGGGAGACTGCATACAGGAGTGAGAAATTGTTTTTAAAAAGCTGTAACAAAAGGGTATTTTAACTTCCTCTTTATTATTGATAGTCAAGAGGAGAACAACAATGCCAATTTTGTTATCACTTAACACTCTATAGTTGCAAAAGAAGTTTATAGTTATTTTTGCATGTTCTTTTTCAATACTTTTCTGATAGCGACAGAGACTAGTCTTAACATCAGTGATATGTCATATTAAGATGTTTTCTTTTTTCCAGAAAAGGAAGGTAAGAGGGAAACCTGTGCCAGTGTGTTACCATTTTTTTTAAAATCACGTTACTAAATATTTAATCATGTCACTGAAGTCTTTTCTAATGGGATAGACCAAACCACTGATTGTTGCTTCGTGTCATATAGATTCTTTTTTTCACTTCCATTCACCTTCACTTGATTTAATTTGCTATTATTGAGGTGAACGCATAATAGAGCTTCTTTTATTTGGGCACACTCGGTGGTGCTCAGGGCATATTCTTGTCTGTGCAATAAGGAATCACTCTTAGCAGGCTCATGGGACGATATGGGGTGTTGGGGATCAAATCCAGGTCAACTATGTGCAAGACAAGTGCCCTACCTTCTATACTAGCTCTCCAGTTCCTACACAGAATTTCTTAAATAAAAATAATCAGAACAAGTGAGACCTAAGGATAAGAAAATTATGATTGACTTTCTTTTTTAATTCTTCATTATGTAAAATATGACTGCTATGTTTTTCACAAGTGGATGCATGTGCTTCTGCTCATGGAAAGGTGTTTATTTTTTTTAGAAGGAACTTGCCTCTGAGATAGGTAGAAAAAGGTTTTCTTAATCCAAAAGTGTAAGAGACTCAGACTCAGAGACCAGCTAACCTTAGGTTTTACATTTTTTTGTTATCTTATTTTCTCAGTCAATATGAGGAGAGTCAATAAATACAGGTCTAGACCCACACTAAAAATTACTCCCAACATTTATTGTCATCCTCCCCTCCCTGTCAGTTTAACCCATCCTTCAGGTTTTAGCACATAGCAGCAGGAAGCACTGCAACATCATGTTTCATTGGATTTGGGAGAATTTGGATAGCTTCTTATTTCAGTGAGAAACATTTCTTTCCTATTATCAGACAACTCAATGAGTATAGAAATCTGTCAGTTTTCTGACTTATTTATTCAATTTAGTCAAATAAATACCTTCATTAAAAAAATACAAACCAACAGCAGAAATCATTCAGATTACCTGTGTATTTCCAACAAACCTGGAAAGTTTTCTCTTGGAGCCAAATTGTCACATCCCTGCAGGTAAGAAACTATTGCTTCTCTTTTTTAAAAGGGTCACACCCAGTAATGCTCGGGAGGCCTTTGGGGGTCATTCTTGGCAATGCCTGACCCAGCAATACAGGTCTGATTATTTAGTGCGAGGGTTTGGCAGTGTATTGCCATCAGGATCACACCCAGTGATTCTGGGTTGGCGGCACACATGGTGTTGGTTTTCAGACTCAGTCCTGCATATGCTAGACATGTGCTTTTCAACTCTCAGAACATCCCAGCTCAATCAATTCTATCATTTATTTAATATCTTACATGTAATATTTGGAGACTCTTAGGCCAGTGCTCAAGGGTAATTTAGGCCCTGGTGATTTAGAAAAATATAGAAAATTGTTGTCCTACTCCTAAGCAAAGTGTCTATTGCAGAATAACTTGTCTCCCCTCTCCATGGAGAACCTGAGTTATCCAATGCCTCTAAGATGCATTCAATCATTTCCCTAACATTAGTAGTTACAAAATAGCAATAGTGATGCAATTTATTGAGTCCATTCTCAGTACTATCACTGTCACTGTCCTCCCATTGTTCATCAATTTGCTCGAGCAGGCCTAGTAACATTATGAGACTTGTTACTGTGTTTGGCATATTGAATATGCTCAGTACTAGATATTTTATAAATAATTTTATTTTAAAGACACTTAAATGGTGCTGACAAAAATAAAAAGAAACCATGGCTTGAAGTTAAAGAGATAGTAAATGGGTAGGGTGTTTGCCTTGCATGCTGCTGACCAAGTTCGATCCTGGCACCACGCTGTCCCCTGAACACAGCCTGATCCCCTAATCCCCTGATCTCCTGATCTCCTGATTCCTAAAAACATAGCCAGTGTAGTTTTCAGAACCATCAATGTGGTCCAAAATGCAAAAGAAAAAAGAAAAGGAAAGAAACCATGATCCGGAGCAGCTGCATGACTTGCTTAAGATTACAGGCATGGATTTGAACACTGATCATCTCGTTCAAGTTCATGCTTTCTTATTATGACCTCTATCTAAGAGCTAAATCAAACTGTAAAGAAACATAGCATGGGACTAACAATTGGTCAAGGACACTAGAACCTTAGGATTGGCTTATAGAACTGCATTTATTAGGGGCAAGGTAAGGGTAGGCTGGGGGAGGGGGTAATTAGGAGGGGACCCTGAGACAGGGTGGAGAGAAGTGGACACCCTGGTGGTGAGTGTGGCATTGGCAAGAAAAAGTTAAATCAGACAATGGGAAAAAACTGAGAAGAATGGTCATGTGTACCAGTCCATACCTGTACTCCTAAAATTAATTAATAATTCTTCATTTCATACTCTAAAGCATGCTAGTTTGGGACATATATTGGGTGTCACTACATCTCTGAGCACGGCTTAAAGTGAAAGACTTTTCTTACGTATTGTCCACATTACTTTAATTAACCTTTTTGTCTTTAATCACTTAATCATCACTTAATCCCCGTTATTCATCGATTTATTTGAGCGGGTGCCAGTAACGTCTCCATTTATCCCGGTTGCGTGCTAGCGTAGCCCAATGGTATCTGTTCGTTTTAGGAACATGTAAAACCGATCATTTAGGGTCTTGACGAAGAAGTCTGACCATCTTATAGGTGGGCGTCCACGTGATTTATTTAATTTTCTCTAAATTTTCAAGGTACCTTAAATATCCTTTGTCTTTAATAAAAGACGTTAAACAATTGAAACCCATTGAAGCAAGCCTGTTGTATTTGGGAAAACAGATGGTTTTATGAATTAATATCACGCACTACTCAGGACTAACTCTCTGTTTCTGTTTTCACACCTTAGGAATCTTTTGTCCACCTTCCTTTCTGTCTCCTCCTCCTCCTCCTGTTTTTGTTATTCTCTGGAAAGCTTACAGAAACAAGCATTATCTATTGATCAAATGTAAGAAAACAAATTCCCAGGGTTTAATTTACTTTCTGATGAATTTTTAAAATGCAATGCAGTCATTAATTCAGATGTTTCAACCATTATTAATGGCATTTTTGTAAAAGAGAGAATAAAAATTGCTTCAAGGTATCTCTAACTTATTTTTCTTTCTTTCTTCTCCTTAATTAATCTCATTGCTACTATTCCACTACTTCTTCACTACAACCGTAGTGTATAGGTGTCCAGGGAGCTTTCTCGTTGCAGTTCCTGGACAATGCTACTGCAGGTTTCGCTGGGGTAAGCCAGCTCCGAAATGGATTATTTCAAGCACCACCTCACATGTCTTTGCAACTCTTCTACTCTTGTGGGTAAACTGTTGTCCTGTTTTTATTACTTCAAAGGACTTTCCAGAAAAAGAAAGGAAATAATTTTCTTTAAAAAAAAATCTAATAAAATATATAACTGCTTAAAAGACACATGCAATAAGAAAATCTGACTTTCACTTTTGTCGGGTTTAAATGCATGGCTTTGATTTATGGATCAAAAATGCTCATTTATTATTTTATCTATACAGCTCTGGGCAATTTTGACAGTTAAAATTTAGTTTTATTGACCAGTGCAGCCACTGTGCCCACAAGGGTACGGGTGCACACAGCCTGCTGCGCTCAAGAAGCGATGATTTTTGATTCCATGACTGAGTCAGATTGGGAATCATAACGGATATAACAGTAAGTTCCAAATCTCAGTGCCCAAGGCAAGAGGTTTGCTGTAAAACACAATCACCCTTTTAGGAGGGGAGGAGGAGAGTCTTGGGTGGAACTCTGCAAGCACAATTTAATGTGGCTGGGATAGGCCACAGATTTATCTGTCCATCCAGGCTCTGTAGCAATGGAGGGAGAGGAGTGATTCTCTAAGGACCCAATTCCACACACTGAAGATTGAAGAGCAAAAATGCCCCCAAAGCAAAATGGCGGTTAAGAACAGAGACAATGAATTAAACAAACATTTTGATGTGAAAATTTTTCACTGTCATTAGCCAACTTTTCACTATCGTGTGAATCAAAAATTCAATGAAGAAATTTTTTCAGAAGGTCTTGATCACATCTCTCCCCACTTGCAGTACATGCAGAAACATAAACTCATGCAGTGATTTTAGGCCACTTTAAATTGAGGCCTCTTCAACTACCAAATTGGCCACCTCTGCAATGTTAATTTAGTCTTTTACTCTAAATCCCCCGTGATACATAAACAGACCTCCAAAGAGTAACAAATCAATAAAATGTCTAATTTGATTAAACATGTTTTCGAATTCAGCAAGACAGCTCTAACCTGAAATAAATAGTTGGGTAAATAAATAAAGAAGAGCACTCACTCGTAAGTATTTTCCATGTCTTCTTTTCATCATCGTAGTACTGAACCAAATTGCTGGGGAGCCGGTCCGGCCCGGGAGGCAATCCTCCAACCAATAACAGCATTTTCTTGTTAGAGCGAATTCTTCACCCAAAACAAAAGAGGAGATGAATAACCACATTATTGTAGAGTCTTTTTAGTGGCAACGAAATCATAACCATCAAAAGAATGTTCCTTGCTTGCAGATTTCTATTTCATTTTTTTCCTGTTTCTTCTCCCATTCATGTCTCAACAATTTTTTTGAACCACGCAGAAAAATGATCAGAAGAGCAGCATATCTCCATACTCATGGAATAATAAGCTCCCTTTATACAATTTGTTAGAGGTTCATTCTAGAACGACCTTTTTCTTATATTATCCCTTTAAATCATCACTCTTTACAGCTGAGTACACATGAAATGCTCTGGAGTTGTACTAAGGTTAAGCATTAAAGTTGCATGTCAAAAATCGTATTAGTCAAAATCATTATTATAAGCCATTCTCCACTCAAAGAACCTTGAAAAAATTAAGGTTATGCAGAGAGTTTGTGAGCCAACTCTTTAATCACCCAGGGAACTTCAAATACTAGTTGGGTACAATTAGTAGCACAAGACTAAACTGGGGTGGGTTAACCAGTACCAACAGTACTTTCCATTTGTTTAATTTAGCAGAGACTTTCGCCTTCATCCCTTTCCCAGCATCTCCTCCCCCTCCTGCTCCACCCCCTCACCCCTGGGCACCACTGGCGACACAGCAGCACCAATTGGTAAAAATGAGACTGTGAGGTTGTTTTGAGCCTCCCCAGAGTGGAGCCCTGCCAATGCCTGCCACTGATCCAGCGGCATGAACCTGCTCAACTGTGCAAAGTCACTCTAATTCCCTCCCTCTGTTTTTCTACCTTCTCCCCCAGGGGGCAACCACTGAAAGGAGTGACTACCCACCCATCAAGAGCTGGCAATTCGCTGCTATTAACCGTGACTGTGATTCCCAGTCTGCCTGGCAGTTCCTGAGAACAGGCCTGCAACATCTCATATGCAGTAAAAGCCATAAGATGCACCCTGGCCAGCACACTCGACCTGATGGATGTAAGAGTCTCAGGAACTGTAATGGATTGAGCACACTTACTATTGGAGTAGGGAGGGGAGGCCCAGACCCCCACAAGGGGCCTGCTGATTTAACGGTCGCTTTACATATAATTGAACTTTTCATTTACCTGAAAGGCTGAAGGTGGTAGTGGAAGAAATGGAACAACCATGATTGAAAGGAAAAGTCAATAAATACAAGAGATTCCCCTTCAATATGATCACAGTGTACCGTGTGCCTCGGAATCTATTATTACATATTCAGCCAATCGTTCTGATTCAAGGACGCTTGGCAAAGTATGCCCTTGTGGAGAAGCACTGTTTGTTGGTTAAGAACCTAACATTCGGAGAGTTAACTTAATACACTTAATGACATTTCCATGTGAAGGAAGGGAACAAGAGAATTCCTTTAATGAAACATTGGTGCCATTGAATGCATTGCACATGCCCCAGTAGGAAAAATACCTTCTGGAGAAACTCCTATTAGGAACTCATAGATAGAGGTAGCCATACTCACAGAAGAATTCCTAATGTAATATTAATTTTGTCACCAACCAAACAAACAAAAAGATCCTTCACCTTGAATTTAAAATGCCTTGAAACTGAGTCCATGTGCCCTACAAACCCAATATTTTGGAAACATAAACAGAAGGTATAACGGCAAAGAGCTCTAGACTAGGAGTATTTCAGTAATTGGGGTGGTTTGTTGAGAGAAGTTTAGGAAATTCAGTGTGGGGAAGCACCTCTATTATTTGGAAGTAATACACACAAAATTCATGTGCCATGTAATCTCCTGAATGTTTATTCACCTAAATAAGAGACAACTTTAAAAAAAAATGTAACCAGTCCAAATAATCAACCCATTTTCAGTCCCAATCTTAGGAGTCCCAATCTGAAATCCAGAGGAATGCAAATCTTTTAGGTAGTTGTAGTTACCAGGTATGAACAAACCTGCTGAACAGAAAGTCCTAATTCTGTGACCTTGGAGAAAGGACACTTCTATATGTTGCTGGACTGCAGGTAGGGACAGAAAAGCCAAAATCGGCTAGTAAGAACTAGAGGAACAGAGTCATTGGAGTAATGGGTGACCAAAGCAATGAAATAAAACCTCTAATATTTCAATTTAGTGTATTGTTTTTAAAAATGTGCTTCATGTGTGACAAAGGGAGATGAAAACATGATTCAATATCTATTTGCATTGCATTACTTGATAAGGGTAGATCCTTGAACTGATCCCACTGAGAATTTCAATGTCCACATATATGGGCCATCTCTGCAGAGAAAGAAACACTATAGAATACTTGTCCTGTTTCTCCGAAGAACCAACCACTGTCATCTGTCTTTTAAGAACTGGACTGAGATTACCAATACAGAAGTCACTGAACAGAGAGCAAGTGGAAACAACTTTCCATGTGAATACCAATATTCAAATACCAAGTCCAGCAATATGCAAGACTCCAGATTAAACCAAGACAAATCTCAGGACCACTCTGGGCTCCTCAGGGAATATGATAAAGAATTACATAGAACTATAGGACCTACCTACTCTATTGCCTGTGTGTATTTTCTGTGAAGGAACAGTGTTTTGAGTTCACTATGTGTGATTTTTTTGGTGAGTTATATTTATATCATCACGCATTTGATATTTTATGGTATTAAAATTTTATTATAGTTAAGATAGCCTGTGATTTTATGACTTTTTACTTAAGTTTTTTTCTAATATTCTCATAATAAGTTTGTGTTACTCACTTTTCCAACCCAATTCAGTATTGTTTAATTCTAAGTGAAATTAAAACTCTACCTTGTAAAGTAAATCACATAAAAACCAAAAATAGGTTAAATCATGTGAGTAGCATCATAGTGTCGGAGAAAACATAAAAATAAAAAGAACACTCAACATTTTCTACCTAGAATAACTTCAAAATGGTCCTCAGTGGTAAGTAGCATTGTAGCACTGTCCTCCCATTGTTCATCAATTTCCCCGAGCGGGCACCAGTAACTTCTCCATTGTGAGACGTGTTGTTACTACTTTTGGCATATCAAATAGCCATGGGGAGCTTGCAGGGCTCTGCAGTGCAGACTGGATACTCTTGGTAGCTTGCCGGGCTCCCCGAGAGGGGCGGAGAAATCGAACCTGAGTCGGCCATGCGCAAGGCAACTACCCTACCTGCTGTGCTATCGCTCCAGCCCAAGAGAATATTCTCTTGATCAGTGGTAAGTATACTTGCATTTTACTGAGAGTTCAGAAAGTTTCCATAGTCAAACAAAGTGGCAGAAATAGTACTCTGACATAAGATTCTAACTTTATGAGACCCATGGTCTTTTATATGTTTGAATTAAGTATTTACCTATTTTTTACTTGATGTTCTGATAAAGACCCAGGTAACTCAGATTCTAGTGACAATTTTTCTATTCAATTCTCAGAGCCTACATTTCCCATCTTAAAAAAAAATAGTTCATTTGCTTCTTCAAAGAGTTATCATTAGTCTTATATAAAACAATGTTTAAAAGCTCTATGTAAACTCTATAGCAAACTATAAATCAATTTTTAGATATTATCAATATGATACGGGTTTTATTTCAATATATTAAATGAAATAGTTTGATATGCCAAACACAGTAACAATTGTCACAATGGAGACATTACTGGGCCTGTTGAGCAAATTAAAGAACAACAGGAGGACAGTGACAGTGACAGTTAAAATAAAAATAATTTTTTCTGAGATTGTTGGTGGGTTTATATATACATAAATATATATATATTTATGTACAAGCTACTTAAAGGAATTCACTAACGAGTTGCTATCTTATAACTGCATGTTCTTAGATCAGGTTAATTATATTGACTATGTATTGAGCCTTGTTACAGAAAGTACAAATATGAACATTACATAAAAGCTATGAACCTATCTGGAGTTAAGTAAAGGGAACTAATAGAGATCACCCCACATTTCTTATTTCTTAAGAATAAAATAAATTAGGAAAACCATCACATATTTTACTTTGATATGAATGCAATGTCAAGTATTCAATTACTCGCCGACAGTAATACACGTGAATAATTCCTGTGAAAAAGCTTCCATTCTTTTTACAACATGCAATTATAATAGTGACAATGACAATAATGACAGATAATAATAAATGTGTATTGGTATTGAAACCTCTGATTATCATGCTATTTATTTAATATGTGTGAACTTCAATTTGAATATAGCATGAAAAAAGATACCATGTGAATCAGAAAAGTAAAATTAGGAGAATCTAAATTAACTTGCAGGAGGGGGTTTCAATTTTTCTTTTCTAAGCAGTTCCAACAAAGCCTTACAGGTTTAAGTTTAGAGGCAAAATATACAAATGAAGTCATACTATGATAATTAGAATTTCTTCATATAGAAACATAGTACACATTTTTAGAAGCTCTTCACATAGGGGACCAATTTAGTCAAAATTAGTGTCTTCTCTTTCAATCTGTTAACATTTAAAAAAAATTTCCACCTCATGCTGCATCTTAAGCACTAACTAGTCCAGTCATATGTTTGTCTAGTCTAGTCTAGTCCAGACAAGGAATTAGAGAAATTTAAACAAAGAACTAAATATGGTATACTTAATAATATTATTTTGATGCCTTTGATATGATTTTCTAGATTCTCATATAGAAAAATACAAGTTTAAAAAGGCAATGGAATTTGAAGGTCTCCTTTGTTCCATCTCAGTAATTGCCTAACATTTACCATGTGTCACATTTGTATGTGTGTGTGTGTATATGTGTGTGTTTGTGTGTGTTTGTGTGTGTGTGTGTGTGTGTGTGTGTGTGTGCACTCGCTCATACATACTTTGGTTCCTGGGATGAATGATTGAAGGATGACCTAAAACCTCCTGGTGTAAACAAATTTTTCATCATACTGGTTTTCTAAGTACAGTAAAGTCTCATTTATTTATATTTCAGTGATTTGGAACTTTAATAATTGGGAAACAGGCCAGATAAAATTTTCCTTTCCATGATACATGGAAAAAAGTTTTCAT